GCCTCTCCGTAGTGATNATGAATCCCTGGATTTTAGCCCTCAGTACGATCTGCTTCGCTTTCAAGCAGCCCCATGCAAGAGAAGGGGTGTGATGGAATAACTGATGGGTAAAAGATTGTGATTTTCAACGGCTTTCTGGCTCCCTCTCGTCCTCGGCTAGGTTTGTTCACTGCCTGCATAATTTTGACGTCTTCTATCCGTCTGCTAAAGTTATGACCACCCAAAAAATGAGCCGGCCACCATCAATGGCGATGGCTTGTGATAGAAGTGCAAGAATTATCACGATCCTATGTCCCTATATGAGAAATTGGCTGAGCTACGGTTCCATGATAGTCAATTCCTATGGAATGCGCCATGTAAAGACTTCCAGTCAGAATTGTTGGGGCATTGTTGAAATGCAATTGATCTCTCCTGCACTGAAGTGCTCTAGGAGTATAGAACAGTCGACTTGAGGTTTGGCATAGCTTCGCTGTTTTGTTTAGCATCTACAACTTTCCACTGTGACCACCAGCCGTACTTGAAGTCAAATATGTCGTCCACAACCAAAAACGAAGGCTCCACTTTCTCTATTCCGTTCTCACTTCAGTTTATGGAGTACGAACAGGCCATTAGGCACGTCTATGTTGTTTGGAAAAATCGTTGAGCACCATGTTGATGTATGACTGAATGGGAAAGGACAACGACTGTCGTTAGTGACTCAGAAAATTCGTTAATGGTTGTAGTTGTACAGCCTGGCCGTGAATCAACGTGGCCACGAAAACGGGGAATGGGGGGAACTTAGGTGGTAACCCACTCACCCACTCACTCGAGGTTCTTTCCAGAGCTTCCTACCAGGGAATATCCGTCACATTTGTTGCAACGGGAGTGACTGATGACTATCACGCAGTAGAAGTATGTAATTTAAATAACAACTTATCGTAATAAATAGACTACGGCAGGTATTGTACAGGGAAAAAGATTTTTGAGAGTATAAAGTGCAACAAAAGTGGGAGGTAAGCAAACCAGCCCGTTTGGCCCTCCTGCTAGATGCATTTCCTCATTCTTCGATTCTGTTTAAGGGTCTCATAATCCCACTCAGGGAAAGTACGTGGGGAGTCGCTTCTAAATGCCAGGTNGAAGTTCTTTATATGGTGTACATAGGGCTGCCGTGCAACTGTGACAGTCTGGTGTGCTTTAACAGTTGATTCATATATTCGCCCAATGTCTTCCACATATTAACAAAGAAGTGTCTTCCACCTGGGATATAAGAGCGACTTCCCACGTACATTTCCTGAGTGGGATTATGAGACCTTTGAACAGAATCGCAGGATAAGGAAATGCATCCAGCAGAAGGCCAGACGGGCTGGTTTGCTTATCTCCAAAAGTGGCGGAATGATGCGAAGTGGAAAGTGCACTTGCAATAATGAGAAGAAAAACAAACTTCCATTCAATGTAAATATTTACGTATTAGCAAAGAATAGTAAACAAAATTATAACAAAATGTATTGGCAATAATATTAGAATCAAATCAAATATTTAGTAATTATAAAACTATATAGTTTACTAAAAGCGTCAAGTAAAATCTGAAAGGAACAGGAAAGGACTTGAGACGAGGGCAACTGTCAGCTCAGAAGCTAAAAGAATACAACGACGGACCAGCCTGGACAATGGATCGAGTGACCGCCACCTGTTTACTACAAAAAAGCAGTGAGTAAAATAGAGTAACCGAAAAATTCCTACGAATTGGTTGCTGTGTATTGGGCTTGCGCTCGGAGTCGCAAAAGCATTAGAAAGGGCACCGAAAGTAAAAAAAAAAGAAGAAAAGGAAAAAACGTTGATGAAGGAGTGCAATGGCACGAAGGGGACAATTGATTAATGATTTTGTACTTCTATCCGTTAGAGATCTGGTTCTAATTGACCAACCTGATGGAAATGAGAGCTCAGTGATCTGACTGGGTTCAGGCTCCGTGAACTAGGTTCAGCGTAACTTCGTGACACTGTAACCCATTGTAGTCGGTAACTATAGAGCTACATCCTCATTTGGTTGTTAGCGCGGCATTATCATTGGGGCGGGACTTGGACGATGGGCGGGACCTGCAAGATACTATGGAACCCATGCTATCTTCATCAATTTAAGCAGCGTACTGACCATTAGGGGTTTCAAATCTTTCTGAACAAGCTAAATGATGTTTAGTTCTGAAGAATACAAAAGCGTTCTCTGTTGGGAGCTGAATATTAGGGCATCTTTGAATGGAAATCAAGTGCAGTCAGCTAAGCGATAGGGAAGTTGTAATTGAGGAGTTCTTGAAGGATCGAATCTGTTATTGGGCAGAAAAACCTGCAAAGGTCCCGGTTTTATAGCATGGGAAAAAGTGATACGGCTAAATCCGAGCGGCGACAGACTGACAATGGCGATGAGATGAACGAATGGCGCTTTTTTTCGTAACGACGAGCTGATCTAGAACGCTCCATGGCATTTTGGTTTTTCTGGCCCCTCGCGGACCTTCGAACGAGCAGGTGCCGATCGCGACTTTTGAAATGGCGCAGAACAGCGATCAATCACATCGTAGCTAACGATTTCCATAAGAAAATTTGGGGCATTGACTCGACCATGAACCGACGACTTCATGGTGTTTCGTGCTTGTTGGCGTCTCCATGAACTGAGCCTATAACATACGTATAGACCTAGAAAACGGTCTTTTTCTCTGCATTCGGCCTTTGATTTGCTCGATTTGAGCACATAATTTTGCAAAAACGTTGCGGATCCTTTTTGCCAAAATATGATCCAATCCGGCTGAAAATCGGCCGTAGCGACCACTAATATTCACGGAATCAACGGAGTGGCGTCAGCCACCGAAGCCTCCGCAGTAAAGACATCTTTCGATCAGATCATTTCTTCGAGGAAGCGCCATGTACCGCGATTTCAGTCGACAGCGAGTTTGGAAAGCCTAGATTTGTTGGAATTTTAATACAGATTGAGAATAATTGTTACATTATGATACAAACCATTCTGTGCAAAGGAAGGGAACGGAAAAGCTCTATCAAGCGAATTAGTAAGACAAAACAAGCTCACATTTGAAATTAGAATGAAAAAGTTTATACAGGAATCTATGAATAATATGGCAAGCCAATTTGCTTTCCATAATTTTTCGCAGAACCCGTTTTCGTGATGAAATAGCTTTTTTTCTCGTCCGCATCGATATCGATGTCGGAGATCAAAACACTACACCCATGTTCAAGAGTCGAACATTTTTTGATTCCCCAAAAATAATTCCGATGCTGATTTCAACATTAGATTCGTTTGGCTAATTGCCAGTTCTGAAAGAAGCAACTCCAAGGGGATGGGGACACCTCTAAGCCACTTTTGAGCCTCGAGTAGGACTCTCACAGCTTATGACTAGAACAGAGGATTGCCTTAGAAAACTGTTTGTAAAAAGAATGCGTTTATTTCTATTCCTTGTGACATATTAATTACGTACTATCTTGAAAATTAGGAACTCTTTCTCAGAAAAACTCGTTCATGGACGCGCCACCCGTTTGAAATCAATCCAGAACCAGAGTAACAGATTTGATTCCAATTTGAAATCATTATCCTTATTATATATGAAACAGTCGTCTATTTGTCTGTCTGTGTGTCTGTCTGTCTGCCTATTTATTGATCCGTTTGTTTGTTTGAACGGGAATTCAATATTACCTGAAGCAGCACCTGCAGAAGTCGGGTCAACTTTGTGATGGGTTGGGCATAGAACAAGACCAACAGAGCACACGTGAGCTCAGGGGAGCTCCGTCCAACCACAGGGGCTGGCTTGTATTAAGGTGGGCGGGGCTAAAATCAAAAAATCAGCATTGTATAAAAAACGTTTTAGAACGCGGAAAAAGATTGGTTTGAGGTATTGAAGAGAATATGCTCAAATCCCTATAGTGGGCAGGGCTTGCACTAAGGTAGGCGGGGCTATTATCGAAAATTCACAAGTGTGTGTAAAACTTTTTGGAATGAGGATAAAATGTTTTAGGGCAGCTAAAAGAGGGGTGGTCAAACTTTTATAGTAGGTGGGGCCTGTACTGAGATGCACGGGGGTATGATCAACCACTAATAATTATGTTCAAATGAAATGTACTGAGCGGATGCCGCTAAAGTGGTCCTATCGTTCGAATCTAGAGAGAACTATCTCATACTGATTCATCAATTATTTGGCCGAATGACTTTATTGCAGATGAGCGGTCATGGATATACGATGCACGCTAACGCGCGCATAGCCCGTCTAGTTATTTATATTACGCAAAAATTATGGAATAAATGATTGAAGTGGAAGGAAATAGTAGTTGATGAGGCGTGGTGCAGAATGACCGAAGTTGTCCCGTCGCGGTGAGAGAGACGCCGCGCGCGAAGGATTGTAGCAGAATGCAGCAGCANAGTAAGAAATACAGGAACAAAAGAACTAACAGTAAAATCATGCGAAAGGTAGTAATCGCATAGCGATTGAGCTGTATGAAGAACGCTAGAACTGTTACAACAAAGCAAGGGGTCTATGACAGTCGCGTGCGGTGGACCGATTACCCAAAACCGTTCCTCTTGCCCGTCTAGAGGGAATTACTCCATCGACGATGTAGATCAATGCGAGCTGACTACCGTACGAGGAGAAAAGTGAAGATCACGAGGAAATCTGATCCGATTTTCTTACAATATTTCGTATTTTCCTGTAAAAACATTTATGCGGATTATGAGCTTCCAATTTCTTTTACAAAAGAACAGTAATGGGCGAGAGCTAATGGACAGTAACTCCTGTATGCCACCCTCGGAATATTCGGATTAGTATGACTGTTTCTGAGCAGCTGTAGTAATCGAAGCCAAAATAAGCCAAAATTATGAATGCATAACACTCACAACAGTTTTTTATAACGTTTATACCATAGTAGAAGCCACAGTATGACCGCTCCATATACATACATATCTCATTTTGTAATTATTTTTAAATATTACAAAATCTACCTAATGTTCAATACTTATCACAGAATTGAGCCTAATAGTAATCGAAATTAATATGTGGAGGTCTATAGAATTCAGAATGACGGCAAAATGGCAACCTTACAAATTTGGGTCTCCATTGTCCATGTACACATGTGTAATTCCCCTTGTGTAGGATCATTCCTGAAATGGACTGTTTGTTAATAAAATTTGCAACACTCAAGCTGATTAGGTGTTGAATTCATCCATCAAGATGGCCCCTTAATCGGGGACATCCAAATGCTTCAGAGGGAGACTGTTTCCAGGAAATATTTCACTCAAAGTGAAACTAAAGTAGTCGTTCTATGCCATGAATAAAAATAATGGAATGAAATGATTAATTGTATTACAGTCATCTTGTTTTGCTGACACTTCTTTTGGTCCAATTCTCGGTGCTACATATACACTGTGCTGCCAAACTGGAGCTGGTTGAATAAAAAGAACGTGAAAAAGAGTGGTACTTTTCAGTAGAAGCCTTCAAAAGAGGAGATGTTTACAGGAGGCGGGTCTTGTGTTGAAGTGGGTGGGGCATATACAAAAAGTCCGCAATTCGATAAATGAATGGACAAATAAAGCAATCCATTGGGATCAATGCACATAGACATGCCGAGTCGTCATTCGCTAGATCACCCATTCCCGGAAGTCGTTCTATCCTTTTCCTGATCGATAGTTATCAGTTTCTCTTCGTGGTCAGCCTCTATTATTATTCCTTCATTGTTCCACCATCTGTTGTTGTTATTTCAACTCTTCAATTATTCTTGTTCCCCTGCTTGCCCCTTCTGAAGGATTTACGTCAGAGGTCCGAATCCCTCAGAAGACATTCTTCGTAGCTTCTGTGAGACCTTATTAGGAAGCAGTCTGATGTAGCTTTTTTTATTCCTCCGACACATTCTGGTTACATGGTTCTTATCTTATTATTAGCCGCTATTTCCACTATGGATTCCTATCGACGAATAAGAAAAACCTGTTCCACGAGTGAAAGTTAAAAATAGCATTTAATTACCAGTCGGATCCAAAATGCATACTGCCTGATACGTGGAATTGGTGGGTACTGAAATGTTTCGACCACGAGCCTCTTCATCGCCATGGATCACCGTCACATTCGTAAAGATGTCATATAACTCATTTAATTTACATTTTCCTAGAAAAATACTATTTAATTGATTCTGGATGTATCACACAACTTTTCTTCAATTAACTACTTTTCTATTTTTCTAATCGCTACAGAGCAAAGACGTCTACGCCTTACCTTCATCCGCGTCAAGAACAACGGGCGCGAAGATAAGAAGAAGAATGGGAATCATTTTTTATGAAATACTAAAAAATCAACTCTCGGGTCGTTCTGTAATCATCGAATCGATAACGAAACGATTTTTGTGACAGCTTCGTGATCAATAATACAAGAAAAACGTTAATGGTAATAGAACGAGTGCGAGTGCAGTCCTAATGGTCAGGATTGCTCTCTGGGATAGCGCTGAACGAAAAGAAGGATTGGCATTGTTGTATTGAGAATTTTATTGGAAAGAGTTCGAAAATAATAGTTGCTAGGGTAGTGCTGTTCTTTGCGCTCTGTATAGCTCCCCCTTCCAACATCGACTTGAAGAGGAGAACGAAAAACATGGTTATGGGCCATTTCGTTGCTGCCCTCAATGGGCGACTGGAAAAGTTGAAAATGGCAGTTCAGAGTAGTTAAGGGCAGTTAAAGATAACATCAATCAACACGCCGAAAGAGAAGGATTAAAAGAATCAGAAGGAGGATCGTATGGATGCAGTCATCGATAGACAGCAGTGATGAATGTATGGAAGAAAAGGCAGCAAAGGAGTCGTTTCGGGTTGTGGCGTAAAAACAGTCAACACGACCATACTTGCCATTTTCTTCTTATAAGGGCATTCGTCTGGAATGTCGCAGTAATGTCAAGCACTTTAGGTGGGGTCATTTTTCCATCAGTCACCGGGTAAGGAGCGCCACGTTCGGTAGCGTTCGATGCTCATCGTTCTCTTCAGAATCCTTCACAAATCGATCTTGACTCCGAATCGAAGAGATTTTTGAAAGCTTTCTATACCTATACCAGAAGATGACGTTGACAGCGTACTTTGTACCCCTTGCCCTTGAAGGAAACCTTTGCAATGAAGTATTATTGAATGCCCTTGCAGGAAACTTTCAACTACCATTTCACAGCAGACTCGGACAAAAAAAAAACGAAAGTGTAAACCTGTTCTGCTGAGCAGATGTAGACAGTCGATAGGGCTAATAAATCTGCTTTTTGGATTGTAACCCTGTCAATCTAGGAGATCACGGTTATGGTTTGCTCAGTCGAGTGGTCCAGCCTCCATTTAAGTTCTAGTTGGCGGATACTCATCCAAAAAACGGTAAGATATCTATGGACTGTGAGTGGTGGTCTGGCAGTCGATGGGCGTGCCTTCATCCCATTTCCCTTCACTTCTTTCTTTTCCCCATTCCCGCTTTCCTATGATATCTTTCTAATGAATTCCGTTGAGGCGATCCGATCTCCGCAGTCACCCACAACGACAAGCATTCCCTCACTGACCAAAAGCCTAAAACAAATCCTCTGACTATGAGCATTTCCACTTTTCACACCTGAGCGAATGCAGGAGGATATTGCCACCAAAAGGGCTCGTATTTGTCATCGCGTTGAATAAACAACCTACTCTTCCTCATTAAAACTAGTAACTAACCTCATAATTAGTCGCAAAAGCTTTTTTCGCTCATCTCTCAGAGGAAAATGTGTGAGTCTGTTTCTCGGAGAGAAGGAAGAAAGTTGACGCTCTCGAACCGACAACAACTCAGCTTGACATATTATGTTTACCAAAAACACTACAAAATCAAGAAAAAACTTCATATAACGAGGAAACAACAAACTTTTTTAACATAAATTAATGGAAATATAATGGGAAACCCATGCATCGTGCCCCATTGACACGTACATCGAATACAAAAAAACGCTCTACTTTGCTATCGCTATGCACTGTGGAGACATAGGGATATCGGCTAGAGCTTCGAATCGACGCCTAGTCATGCTTGAATGAAGTGCCATTTGTCAATATCTTCTGGTAAAGCTGATGGTGCTGCTGGTGGTGCTGTCCCGTCCACAACTGTTTTAGCAAAGTCATGAGTGGCCTGATGTGCTGCTCCTTCCACAAAGCATTGCCTGTAATCAAAATTTGTCAGTTCCACCTCAATGAAACCATATTCATTTGGTACCCCAACAAGGCTCACCGTTCTCATCCCATTGACCAGACCCCGCCTTGAACACATCTTTTCAGGAACGAGCTAGACTTTCGGTGCTTTTCCCTCCCATCAACCTTCCACACAGACTTTAAATGTCGGGAAGGAGTGTAGGAGCTAAGGTTTATCCTACTGAAGGCTAATATCAGTGGCCTCAACCCTTTGCATCAGAATTTCAAGGAAGAGCTGTAGTATGCCCTAGAACTGTGGGCCACAACGGAACATGGGTCTTCGAAATTTCTAGTATCTGCCTAGAACAAGTCAATCCTCGGCTTAGAACTCCATAAACCCCTTGAACTCGTATACTGGCAAAAGTTGCCTTTACCACTTCTATATATGGGTGTAGAAAGTGCATACAACGTCACCTAATCGGCATACAAGGCAAAAATAAACGGTCAAACACCACAAAAAAATAATTCGAAATGACCCGCATGAGGGCCAAGTCGTGGTCTTAGAAAACTCCCTCGGCCCTTGCAGTATTCTCGATAATTTCCAGAAAATCACAGAAAAACCATACCATCATTAGAAGTAATAAGCATTTGAACATACGTTTTTAGCTTGGGCGACGCCTCCTTGATAAGTGATTTCCAGAACTCGTTCGTTTGATTGATCACCTTGTGTGCGTAATCTCGATCTTTGAATTCGCCATTGAAAGCAAATTTGTTTTCCGGCTTCCCAGTTGGGATCTTGTAGATACGGAACCACTCATGGGTAGCCTTGAATATCTCTACTCACCAGATAAGTTCATGTCACGGCCATAGTACAACTTATGTAAATTGTAGTTTGGCAACCCTCCGGACTGCTTTACAATTCGCTCTCACCTTGAGTAATCCTGGGAAGTGTTTTTCCACATCACCTATGTTATTGATCTGTGCCGCTACTGGGTCTTCGATATCGATGGCAACCAACTTCCAATCGGTTTCACCTTCATCGATCAGCGCTAAGGTTCCAACTATTTTCACCTAGAACTCGGTCAACCCTTACTTTCGGATCATTTCGGCTCTTAGAAACCAACAAAAATATCTTGTACAAGTATGAACAGACACAGAATACTGGTAAACAAATAAAATAAGGGAGCAAACAGTGTAAACAAAGTAACTGGTGACAAAAGACAATTCAAAAACTACCTTGACGACTGCACCACGGCCTTGAACCTTCGACCCGATTTCAATGACATCAATGGGATCGTTGTCTCCTTTAGCTCCCGTGTCGGGGACAGTGTGATTAGGATCCTCCCACGTCTACAATGGCTCAATTTAAATTATTTCCGTCACTGAACAAATCTAGCCATTCAACATACTTGAGGAAGTGCACCATAGTTCCAAATGTAACCCTTGTGCGGGAATATATTATGCACAAATCGTGGCAGACCTTTTTTTAGATCTTGCTTGATCGGATTCATTGGTTCTGCGGTAGCCATCTGAAACAACATTTACACCTCACGTTCAGAGTTATAAACGCAACGATATTTACATACATGACCGCAGGATATCACTACTCTTTGAGCCGGGAAAGCAAGTGATCTTGAATGAGCGGATACTCCTACCTCCATTTTGGCGTTGGTCCAACGTGGGATTTCAACAATCATGTTGTAGATCTTCTTGGACTCATCGGCGTACAGCGGAATATCGTGCCAGGGTGATAAAACACCGTCGGGACCCTCTGAAACAACAATTTTTTTTTATTTCACACTTTCTCAAATGCTAGATGTTTTTAGGTTGGTAGAATTTCTCACGCACTGATAAAGATCCGATAATCCATCGAGTACAAGGATCCACGTTCGATGGTTTCGTACTTGACTGCATCACCACCTGCCATTTTCCTTTTTGGCTCAATTCTTTCTGTATCGATTGCTTGCGCAGAAGTGGGACCCCTGCAAGTACATCGTTTGATCAAACGAATTTGTGTTACTATAGTGGAGCGAGTTGTCAGGGCAAATATATTAAGAGCCGTTGGAACCGTTCAGGGGATTTTGGCGGTACGAAGCCAAAATAGACCAGCACACCCGTCCTATCAGAAATTGAAAACTCAGAACCTTTAGGCATGTCTACAAATCTACATCACCAACTTTATTCTGGACTTAACACGAAAAATACATATTCCTAAAGCCTAAAGAAGAATTTGTTTCAATAGAAACAGGATTTAGATCCCAGGAAACGTATAGAGAATATATGCAAGGCATTTTGATGTAAAGAAACCGGCACTACTAAATTGGAGAAATACAATATATAGCTGGCATGACTACTATAGAGCAAGAAAAGACCACAGAAGTAAATCGAAGGAGTCTTTTCGAACTACAACTGATAAAAACACAACCCTTTTGACCTTTGCGCTTCGGCTAACAATTGAACCCCCGAGAAAGCGATAAGGAATAACGCCCGCAGAGGCGAGAGAAAAACTCTATGATACATGGCAAATACAAACAGAACGCAGTCAGCAACGGAGTACTCCGATATTACGCCCTTCTTCTTCACCCCGTCTTTAAATTTATGCGCAAACATTTCAACAAATTTTGGCCGCTTCTTAAGAGATCCTTCCATATAGACCTTAAACCCGAATATTTGTTTGGAATCCTGGATGAATCACAAACATAGGGAGACTCCGAAATACCGGCGGTCTCACCAACAAACTTCTCACAGCTGTAATGTTTTCTGAAAAGAAAGGAAGAAAAAGTATACAAGCAAGAAAATCAAAAGATGATATGAACTTCCAAGCAATACTCGAGATCTGGAGGAGAACCGAATCATCATATCATAAACGCACCTCGGGAAAAATTTCAAGAACCTTCGGCACTCAAAACATGATCCTATAAACAACACACACTATTTCTTGATAAGAGTAGTGCACCCGTATGCAACGATATGTAATAAAGAGTGACACAATCAATGATAGATTGAATAGTCATTTATGATGTGCTGTCTAGAGAGAGTACATACGTCGTGCGTGATGGAACGGGAACAAAAACCGGCAGTTATGGACAAATTGCCACCTCTTAAAATGAGATTAGCTTATTCAAGGAATTCAGCACACAGACCGAAACATGAGCGACTTAGCTCTCACGATCGACCGGAACGTTTAAGCCCGAGTTCACTGGGTAACGACTTGCACAAAAAAAAGGAGGAACGTGCTACTTCAAAGAAGCGAACGTCATGGTTAAATTTGATCGGCCCTCCTTACTTTTATTTTCTTTTCTCGGATGACTTTAGAGTGGTGCGATACCATCGTATCCTGCCTTTTCCTGTGGGCTCCAAATTACTATCACTCAACGACAGGATGATTGGACAATGTCTCTTACAGGAGCTGCCAGTACAGCAGCCGAGCCAGCCTTATGTTCTGAGAACACGAGAAGGGCTATAGCTGCTCGACAACGAACCATTCTAGACAAAACAGACGACTTTTCAATGCCAAACCATTCTGATTAGCCCTCCTTCTACCGTTTGCCTGCTAACAGCTATGCAACGTGCTTGAATCGCACTAGCTGTTCAAGAACTCAAACATGCTCAGGAACTTATATCACACTTCAATGCTCCGCTATGGATACTTCCGTTTAGGGCGATAGATGTTCGCTCAAATATATCCAGCTAACCCACACAAGTAGACCCTAAACAACGAACAGGGATTACTATCATGGCAACATATCGAATGATACATGAAATGGGCTGTGTGTTTCTGATGCAGCGAAGTTCATTGTTTGAGAAGACGGGATGAGTGATTCGGATCTTTCTTTGAAGGATTCCCTGAGGAAAGTTTTTGTCCACTTGTTGAACAGTAAAGTACAGTACTAGGCACTGAAACGGAGTTAACTTAAGCTCGAGACTTGAGTAACTTCAGACGAATTCGTGATAACGCTTAGCGGCACAAAAACCGAAAAATCAATGTCATTTTATGTGACACATGTCGCTTACCTAACCCCTTTGGTTGAAAAGTAAAAGTTGAGCTACTGTATATAAAGTAGAAACCTACTTTGCATTACGGAAACACAACCCGCACACTAACCACATGCTTATGGAATGACTTAGGTATCATGCTGAATATCAAACGAGCTGTAATAACGAAGATATGATATGAAATGATCTCAAGCGCCATTAACTCGTCCATTCCACTCTAAAGTAGCACTTATTTCTATCCACGTTGTAGGAAAGGTAGCTGTCAATCAAAAGCTATCAAAAAGCTTGTTTCGTTGGTCAGAAACACCATTTTCATTGAAATGCGTAGAAAGAAAAAGGTCATGAAGTACAGTAATGATCACTTCCAAAAGGCCAGGCATACCCACAACCGACCCACCTTGAAACTTGACGCTGTTGTTGCCGGAACATATCGTTGCTGATGTTGCTCGACACTGTTCGAGTTGTGCGTGTTGTCAGGTCTGGGGACGTATCCGTTAGTGACGCTTTCGTACGTGCCGCCGCCGACGAAGCCGCACAACCCATACGGCATATCGGTCTCAGTAGCACCCGAGAAGAAGCCAGCAGCCACATCTGTGACCAAGCAACTATGCATGCCTAATGCTAGCCATCTCGTCTACCAAGTTCTCTACTCATCAACGTTCTATCTATACAAGGATGAGCTACACGCTACCATGGCAACAACCCTATCGAAGTAAGAGAGATGAGAACATGACGCGCTAACAGATGCCGCTAATAACAGGACAAACTGTTCAACTACTGCTAAGTCTCATACAACAGAATCGTCATAGTTGTAAGAATAAACAATGAAAATAAACTCCATAGTCATCAATGTTGCAATTAATGCCCATAACTTTGCAACTGCTAATCAAAAAANAAGGTTCTTATGTTTATGGAATTTAGGCAATACACAGCAAGGTGGTCCAGCCAACGACGTTCCCACCTACTCTGTGGGAACGTCGTTGGCTGGGCCTCACTCTTCATACCCTGAGGGCTTCCTGCAACATGAAATACCCTTACATTTTGGAAAGTTTCAATGATCAACCACACCACCCAGCTGTTCTAAGCGTGACACACTGCATGAATTGGACCAACCTCGAAATTGTTCCCATAAGAACAAGAGCCAGTGCGATGATGAACAACAGCATGATGACAGCCGAGGATGAATCACTAAGCCAACGCCACCTCATTCATAGGGCTTTTGCCGTTTGAGCGGATAGGCCAGATGCTACACGAACTCGTACCAATAAGAACTAGACAATAATTCCCAGAGTTTCTATCGTATGTTTGAATTCATTATCGATATCACCTTCTATTTCGTGCTCGCACAATATGACTTAGTTACACTCACGAGTTTTCTCACTCCTCTATCAAAAACTATTAGACTGAGCACGAGAGAGCAGCCTTCATAACGGCTAGAACGACGAAAAAAGTGCGAACCCAAAAAAATAGGACTAGACGCATTCAGAGCCAAGCTATCACCAAGTGGTAAGAAGTTCATGCCTAACTATTGTGTTAGTGATTATATCAAAAAAGTTCCCAGAAGAAACCCTGATGAAAATAGGAACAGCTTGTTAATGAAGAGTTGTTAATTTAAGAAACGCAACAAAAGTCAATAATCAGTTTGAAAGTGGATGTTCCGTGAAGTGAGCAACGACAACGGAGCGAAAAATGTCACCAGAGCGCGCCAATGTTCCTCGAAAACTTCCTCGAAGTGATGCCACAATTCTTCATCATGTACACCCACGTGTACACTTCCTGCTTCGTGAGACTCCTTCAATGTCATCTAAAACAAAACTCAGTTCATGCTGTAGCACTAATTAGTAAGTGAATGGTGAATGAGTGAACTAGATGATGGTTTAACTGAAGGCGACTGAAAGCATGCCCTTGAATAGTGACTAAGGTTACTTCTCCTAACGGTTGGTCATGACAAAAGCAATGACAAGAAAAGCAAAAAAAAAATTAGAAAGAAGAACAGAACTGTGCTCTTAAAACCGAAATATACCCTCTATATAAATATGGAAAAAAGCACACTCCTTCCCAATCGAGAAAAAGATAATCTATGCAATAAGTACAAGCGATTATCGACAGTTTTGCCATAACATCAAGCAGTGGGCTAGAAATTTATTCAAGCTGAATTCATATTAACACACATCAAAAACAAAACAGGAAGAACACTACCACGGAGAACTTCAACTTCATATACAAGTGAAACCTGATACACAATAAGGTAACAACGAAAACAGAGCAAAAAAGACACTTCGCTGAGATGGTTGGTAGTTGAGATACACAAAAAAAANAAAAAAAACAGAGCAGAAAAGCTACATTACATCAAGAAAAATAGAAACTTCTTTGAAAACGAGGTAACTCAATAAACCTCTAGATTAAACCAATTTGAGAGTATACAACGCTATTTAATGACCAGAAGACCATATTTCACCGTACCAGTTGTAACACCGTAAAATCGTCAACAACTAATTCAAAATCCTATTAAATCTCTCAAATTTCTATCGAAGCATCCATGGCTCTAAAAAAGAATAACGGAGATCAAGTTGTCGTTTTGGTCAAGGAGATCTACTACTGATTGTGAGTCACAATAAGAGAAGGAAATCATAAAATCTTGCTAGCTTATTTGATGTTTTGACATTCAGATCTTATAATGAGTGAAAACTTGTAAGAACGTTATCAAGTTCCCAACAATATCGCGATATACATTAACCCACGGTCTATCTGTTGCCGTCAATGCAGCAAGCTCATCACGAACCTCACGAATCTGAATAAGACCGTTAACTTGACAATGTTCACAGAAACTACGTTCAGCTGCATCGCTTTTAAAAGAAGCTGATGTCATGAAGCTGTTTGAGCAGTTGATAAGCACTAGTGCTTTTAGGAGCACTACACTGCTAAGCAAGGTAACGTGTTCTGATGTTGCACATTTTAGGAAATATATTAATTCTCTGACATGACCTTCAACTCAAGTGTTGAAAGTGCCGAGCAGAATTATCATGCCTCAACCCAAAAAGAACGGAGGATTTTGTCAGTATTTTGAATGAAAAAGGTAGCGAATACATACCAACGGGATCTCGTTGTTCAATAAATCGCACACATCGCGGCTTACACTCAGATCATCTCTGTATGACAATGCGCACATGGTTATACCGATGAATAGGTTCGAACGATTGCTGACCTTGTACACATCTGACCAAGCTTTGTTACCTGGAAATGGATACATCCATTCGAAGAAAGCTTATTACGAATAGGTGTGATGCCCTTACCTCCAAGTGCGCGCGGATTCATCGCCATTTTGATACAACTGATACAAGTGTTCATCAGACAGTTTAAAGTGAATCTCAAATTCACATGAGAGCCGTTGCATGGTGATAGGTACGCTATGGCCCACTTACAGAGCGCATTCTCTTCAAAAGTGGTCTGTAAAAACTAGTGTGAGAAGAAATAAACGAAAACTTCAGCGACTTGAGGGCTATGAGTAAAGTCCTAAAATTTGCACACTTTCAAATTCCTCTTGCAAATGAAGAAGAAGCAGGCTATGGAATAAAGCAACCCTACCGGAATCGGTGTGTCGTTTCCCATCTGATGGGCTCGTTTTTCAGCACATTCATCCAAACTTGTTATCAGATTATCAAAAGCTTTCTTGACATTTTCGGTAGAAACATCTTGCAGCGGAAGTTCCTCTGCGAATTGCTGGAACCACGCCCACAGCAAAACTTTGCCTTCCATCTGCAACGGGACCTTATAAATAACCGAATTTCGAAGTAATCGGAAAAATGAAAGCTCTTCGACGACGCCCCAATTACTCGCGATTAAAAGAATGGTGTGCAGTGGCATGCCTTTTGAAACTACGAGACGTAAACCTAGAGTGCAGCTGAAGAAAAAGGAAGCTCTGCAAAGCAACGAAACAATGAAATGAGGAAAACTGAACTTTGCAACCATTGCACCAGCAGTATTCACATTGAAGAAGACATTAAACTAGGCCATTAAATTGTGAGAAATAAAAAAAATCTCAAGCAACTCACATGAGCCGTCGTCACAGCTAGTGACAGAAGAACTGAGAACGGACAATCCCGGTCTTTCATCCAGTCTAACAGATTGTAATATGGAGTCAATAGCGCAAAGGTTGTTGCTTTGATAGCTATTCTCTAAAATGTTTACAAATAGAAAACATAACAATTATGAGCAATTCTCCTTCGAAGCACCCAAAAAACATGGCTGCCTACATAGCACGCTCCTGAACTGAACTAGCTTCTCTGAAACAATAATCATTTCCCTTTACATAACTAACTTACAATGTCTTGTAAGTAAAGAATAGTCAAAACGGTGCGAAGACAATCCTTTTTCTCGTCCCAACTGATAAGATCACCCTGAAACATCGGAATTGATGCTTAAAATAGTTCTACGAAATACGAGCGATGAACCATAAATTGCTGGACAAAATTACAGAAGAAACAAACCGTTTCACGTAATGCCTGCATGAAAAGTCGGATATAACGCCCAGAATAAATTGGGTTCGGGTTTTGAGTGGCAAAAACAAACTTCATCTTTCTGTAAGAGATCACTTACTAAGGAAGTTGCAGGATAAGAAATGAACCAGCTTACTCTACGTAATGCAGCCAAATTTCAGCTTTGCCTCCCAGCTCCCTACAATTCTGAAGGAACGTATCCTCCTGAAATCAGTCTCACAGAAATAGTGAAGCAGCAACATGAGTGACTATTTTTGCGTTGAAAAATTGCAATCTATGTGAATAGATCCAAATATACCAATACTTATCAGATTCCTCAGAAATCCTCACCTTTGTATTGCGGATGTGAGAAGAGTCGCAATCCCTACAATTTTTCTGCACTATTGTCCACATATCGCCGGAATGCAAGTTCAAAGAACACTAAAAAAGTTGAACAGTTCAATTAGATTACCTTTTTTTTGAAGATACGCTAATCTTACCTGGGTCATCGCAACCGCAAAGACTTGGGGACTCATATTCGATATCTCCTCCAAATGTTCGGCAAGATTGTTTCGGATAACTTCGATTTTTTGTTCTGATAACAGGGCTCCTTCTAGCAGCTTCTTCAAGGACTAAAAAAAAATGATAAAACGAAATAAAAATGAGAGGTTATCAACACACAAGTGAATATTTGTTTGGGAACCTCATGCTGATCAACAAGAGAGGAAAAAGAAAGGAAATATTCGATCATGGACTTTTTTCCTCCGCTCTATAAGGGCTTGAAATTTGAGAGGGGCAAGTTTGGGTTATCACACCGCATCTTCCACTTTATTTTTTTTTTCGAAGAAGAGTAGCTAGCTCCCTTCCTGGTTTAAACGCGAAATGGCACTTCAAAGCTGCTGAAGCAGAAAGCGGGATTTTCATAACTGTCACTCAGTTACTTGCTTAAGTAATAGCGTTAAGAATCTTAGAAAATGAATCAAGTAAAGTAGAGAATAAAGAAAAGTTTCTGAAACTTTCTTCTGGCTGCGGCTTCTTTACAACTGGTGTTGACTCAATACTGACTTCTTCACGTTTCCTCTTCAATCCACGAGCAGGAGCGGCGATAACTGGACGAGGTGGAGCACCTGATACATAGGCAACTGATGTGACTAATTCGACTTGACTGAGGCGAAACCCACATCTGGTGGTAGATGACACCTTTATAGGCGATTCCGACGACGGAGGTGGTTTCGCAGTGCGTGATGACGCAGCGATTGGCGCCTGTAAGACTTTCTGCAAACGGTTTGGATATTTGGAAAATGTAACTTTATGAGCTGCCTTTAATTAATTAGAGCAAATGGATCGGTAAGGAGATAGCAGAAGCTTCGCTGTTGTTTTGTTGAAACGTTCATCAATACAGTGCACCCCTTACACGAAGTTTCTTACTTGATTGAAGAAAAACTGCCTAACTCTTGATCACGTATTACTTGCCTGTCAGTGATGACATGACCTCTATCGATAAGTTAAATAACGATAAAGACTGAATATTTTTCAGCAGGTAGTTACATAAATATTAAGTGCCTATCAGTGACATTAAGTACATTGAGGCAGTTGAAAAATATATTTGAGAGTGTAAAAACTGAAGTGGTTTCACCTTAGGTTGCCCTCTCTTCAATTGTCTGCTCAAGGTAGCATTGAACTTTTCCATAGCTGCTGGTCCGGCTTTGAAATCTGGCACCGACCGCTTGGCCGCACCGAGTGCTCCCATGCTCCGCTGGAAATATTGGCCAATAATTAAGATATTTAAGACTTCTAAAGAGAAAGTTAAATTCTATGCCACCAAATGTTAGTTATTATAGTGCTATAAAATGAAGCATCATGACATCAAAACTCACAGAAGTAGATTTCGACGCACCCGGACGCATGCCAGCTTCAGGAAGAACTTTTGACTTTTTAGCCTTGTCGGTGGTACCTGAACACGCCTTATACTGAAAGATAGGCCTAGGGTATTAACACAACTGGCGAGATAGTTTGCAACACAGGAACAAGGGGCTGCTTTCATAGTCCGCGATCCGTCCCGCGAGCGCGCCGACCGGGGGACTACTCGGCAGGCTTTATCGACCAAGGTTCAGTTGTGAACAAGGTGCAAGCGCCCGGCCAGCGCGTTCGCTCGGGGGCCGGATTGCTGACTAAGAAAGCAGCCAGTAGGAAAGTTTCAACCAAATGCAGATTACCTAAGTAAAGTAGAATAACAACTAAAAACCCACCTCTTCCAGTCACTTTTAAGGGTTTCAGCACGGCCTGCTCATCTGCACTCCCAGCAGCGTCCTCGTTAGAAGTAGAAGTTTGAGTCTTCTCTTGACCAACTAAGCCCTTATTCACACTATCTTCACTCACCCGTTCAGAGGTTTCTGCTTTATCATGCACATTCTTCTCTTTTTCGGCAGTCTGGAAAACTTTTGATGTGAAATCATTTCAGTCATTCTAGCTCCTCTGAATAAATGAAACCTTTTCATCGTCCACATCCAGACGTTGCTCTTCACGATCCTGAACAACAAGACGCTCTTCTTCGCCGTCGTCAATCACCAGATGCATTTCGTCATCACCACAGATAGGAGCAGATGAGGGTGAGTGTTCCGCATTTTCAGTTGCCTCGTCTTCCGCTACGCAAAGCCGGTCTTCATCATCACTTTCCTGAGAGCTGGTCGTAGGCTGCAAAACAACAATCACTGACATCTTGCTGTGACAGGTATCACTAATAACAACCTCATTATGTTGCTCCTCGATTCTCGTCGCAATACCCTGTCCTGATGCAGAAATCGAATCCTGGGAGCAAACGCTCGCAGCGCCAACCACATCCGCTACATTGCTCTCTGGTTTCGAGATACCAGTATCATCTTCGTTGAAACGACGTTTTCTCTGAAAATTAATCGTTATAAAACCGCAACACCCTACAAATCACTCTAGTCTCACCGGTGCCACTGGCCCTGTTCTTCTTGTCACCCTAGAAGGTGGGCCCTCACTAGACAACGCTTCAGTAGCGTTCCCGTCAGCATGGCGTCGCAATTTCGTGGCCTGAAGAGGCTAAAAGGGATAGATATCAAGTTAATGAAGAGAGAGTGTTTTTTTCTGTAATGCATCACCCGAACTAGTTACCCAAAAATCTTAGTGGGATTCGCATGGATTCTGATTCTTGAACAATTGAGATCAGCTATGACTCGCTAAACGTTTTCGCCAGTCTTGGCGGAAGTAAGTGAGAGTTCTAACTCCCCCNCTGAACACGCCTTATATTGAAAGATAGGCCTAGGGTATTAACATAACTGGCGAGATAGTTTGCAACACAGGAACAAGGGGCT